TGCAATGTTTGCAATAGTTTAATATTTCTTTAAAATGTTGTTGAAAAGAAAAAATGCAGAGGTGGGAAACACAAAATAGCCCGAATAAAAGATACCTGACAGTGATGCTGTTTTCATTGGTCTAACACTGTTTTCAGTTATCACTCTGTTGTATTTGTGCTCAGTCTTCTTATTTTTTTGTTTGTTTGTATGTTTGAAAATGTCATATTTTAGACTAGTCAAGAGGTTTTGTTGTACATAAAAGAAACAGGCATAAGTAAGCAGACTTCATCTCAAAGGTTTGAGGGACAATTAACATGATGTGATAAACTGGAACTACAGCCTGTGACAAAGACTCTGCAGTCAAATTACTGTTAAACTTAATCTGTTTACAAAAACCACCCAGATGTGGCAAATAAAAATAATTAGGACTAGTTGCAGACACGACTGTTTTCAGCTGCTAATATCTGTATGACATATACGTCTAAAACAGCCAGTGTTAGTGGTTGCTGTTAAAAAGATAAATGAGTTTAGCCGTAAACTGTAGTTATTACTAAAATAGTCAACATCTGTTGCCAATAGTTGCTAATAATGGCTGAAAAATATGACCAGCTGGTGATACAAATCACAAATAAACAATAATAGCTAGTTAGCTGCAAACATTTGGTTGGTAAGGGAAAAAACATTGATTAATTTAGCAACATAATTTCCAAATATTTGATAATTTTGGCTTAGAAATATGATCAACGTGCGATGCTAATAGTTCCCAGTTATGAAAAAAAAAGGAAAAACAACAAAACAAATCATTTAATACTAGTAGTTGTTACTTTTATCAAGTATTACAGCTGTAAAGCTCCTCTTATGACTAATGTGTATGCTAATGGTTAGTCTTGATTATCTAATAATTAAAATAATACCTTTTATATCGCCCATACTTCAATATCCATTTATCCTTTATTTTTGTGTATGTCTTTTTATGTCAGCATTTACACCTTATGCCTTATTTCCTGCAGGTATGAGTTTGGCTCAGCCTTGTTTGTCGGATGGGCAGCAGCCAGTCTGACTGTTCTGGGTGGCTCTTTGCTGTGCTGCTCCTGCTCCAAAGAAGATATGCGAGGACAGCAATATTACCGCCAATCACAGCCTTCCACAGCAAGGGAGTACGTGTAAACCCCAACCCCTTCCAGCAGTCACCCAAACAGAGAGCAGAGGACACGCTTGGCACCACCCTCTTTTTTCCCCTTGTAAATCTAACAAAAAGACTATCATGCATACACACATGCAATCATTTAGCTCAAAGACACTTCTTATCTTATGCAGCAATACACGACATATGAAGTTGTACATATATGAGCACATTATCTACCAGTAGGATGTATGTGGCTATGAACCTAAAGAAGTACAAACTTATACGTAGAAAGTGTTAAGCTTGTATTGTGAGTTGACATCTCCTGCTTGTCATGATTTAATGTACTTTAAGAGGTAAGTACAGCGATACGATGAACACAACTTTAAGCATGGTACAGAAAAACATCAAATTACACAGCAAATTAAAGGGCATTTCTTATCTGAGGAAGTACTGCAAACCTTGCTGAACTTTTACTAGCATGTCCTGTGCTTCCTGGTTGGAGCTGCATTGGTGTTTTACCTCCAAATTGCCACGTATGTTCACAGTCTACTGTTGCAGTTAAGTGTGTAAGGGGACAAGGCCTGACCCTGTGTGCAAATGAGAAAAAAAAATGATTTAAATTTGTAACTCCCAGAGTTTAGAGCTCTAAACCACCAAACCTTTATATAGATTTTCTAAATAAAACAAAGAATTTCTATGTTCTTAATTTATTTATTTAAGCTGCCGAGTGTTATTCAAACAAACATAATGAACGACAGTAAAGAAGCAGGCGTGTCTGGCGTCCTCCTAAGTGATGAAGCCCCTGGACAACCATCCAATTAACAGCTGAGAAGATTTCTCACATATGGTAAAACTACACAGTCCTTTGTTACACCACAAGGACTTGATGAAGATCGCACATGCAGACACAATCTGAACTGCAGCAGTGGAGGGTGAATTGTTAGTTAAAGGTGTCTGTTTAGATGTGTAATGAGTATGACTGCTGCTGATTATCGCTCTTCCATTATACTTAACACGAGGAGAAAGAGGAGACTGTCATCGACACATATCATCACGCTCCATTTACTAACACCATCATTCCAGATTCATACACTCCCTCATCTCATGAGCTGTTGTATAACTAAACCAGTGCCTAAGATCTAAGCTATTCACACACATGAATAATCTTACTGAGAAGCTAAAAGATGTCAGCATACTATTATCGTTATATTCTTTTTATATAATTTAGCATGATGAAGTGTTATATTTAACTCCACTGTTTGGTTGATTGCATATAGAAAAAACAGGTGGTCTTCAACCCACCGACTACTCATTGAAGGCGAGGCACAATAGATACTTGCAACTATCGCCACATTAGACCCTTTAAAACTCAGCTGCCGCTAAATTGGCTCTTGAGTTCTCCCTTCATGCTCCCACATCACTTTGCCCCCATTTATGTTTCTAAAAGAGTTGGTCCATCACTGTTCCACATAAAAAAGCCATTAACTTTTCTTAGAATAGGTCCCAGTTGCCCCATTTCCCAGTTACATGGCTTCTCTTCTTAGAAGAGACTTATTTGTAGAGAGCTCTATTATTCTCAAACTTGGCAGGTGGATGGTGAGGGTTTATAGGAAATTCTTTGTACTTGTACTAAATAAAATGAGATGTCAATGGGATGTCAAGCATCTCTACTCTGCCGTCGTAGCGACTGTGACATCTCCCCATTTCTATATGACTGGAAATGAGCAACTAGGCCTATAAAGCCAACAGACAAGTGTTTACTGAAGTTTGAAAGCCCTTTTCCCAGACACCTCTATGGAGGGAAGACTTTTATTTTTTTGCAGCTTCGAGTATGTCTCTTGTGGCAAAGAATGCAGGATTAAGGCAGTTCCACATCACCCCAGACAACAGTATAGCTGTTCATTGACTCTATATGTTTCTGCCCACCTTTATTAGTCATTCTGTAGGGTAAATGTTGTATTTTAACCCGAACAGTGCTAGCCAGCTTCCATGTAACACTGATTCTGAAACCTGTCGGCTAACGTCATCCCTCTGGCTCTCTAACATGGTGGGAATCTGAGAGTTCTTGATGTGTCTTATCCTGACTGTCTTCTTCTCTCCTCTAATTCAGGGCAGAGTTGTTGAGTGAAACTAGTTTCCCTGACTGATCAGCCCCCGCCTTTTTATCGAGGACTTTCCGACTGTCCCACCACTGTCTCCCCATCCCCCCCTTCATTTCCTGTTACCTCTTTACCTCCCAATTTGGACCTCTTGTAGATGATTTCCTTTTTCTCAATAATACATCTGCACCTTATCACTTTTAATGGGAACCAAGGTGTACTGTCTTCTTCCGAGCCCCCTCTCCGTCTCTGAGCCGTCTCTGTAAATATGGACTCATGTGATCAGACGTTTTCTTTAAGAAATAAGATATCAACCCTCTGCTACACCTCCTGTTCCCCCTTCTGTCCAAACATTGGTGCAAAGTTAACAATAAACTGAAACATACTGTTGTGCTGATTCGTAGTTTCACTTATAGCCTATGACCTCTGGGTGTTTTTGTAAATGTGAGTTTTTTTTCTTGTCGCTGTGACTGAAACGTGTCTTTTTTCCCTTTTGAATTGCAGACCAAATGTTAAAAGTACCCCACCAGAGAAAAGGGAGCAGTACTTGTAGTTTGGGAGAGTCTTCTGGCCCTACCATGGTTTAAATTCTGTCAACAGACAAAACCCTTTCACTGAGAAATTCAAAACAGACAAGAATGAATTTATGAACAGCAAACACTCAAGCATATTGCAACAACATATATTAATCTTTGTTGAGATTAATGAAATTGTTTGGGGAAATGTTTTATGAATTAGATGTACTTAGGGGGTTTGACATCCTCATCTGTGTTGTTGACTTTGGGAGAGACAGTCATTCAGGGTATGTTTTCTATAACATGTTAAAAAAACCCAGGTGTATATACCACCAACTTTACTCCTTTTTTTTTTTTTACTACATATAATGTTTTACTACAGTGCCTTATAACACATGTTTGCACACATGTATGTGAATTCTCTGTTTCCCATCCCATCTGAGGGATGTGTGTCCACAGCTACTCTGCAAGGACTTGTGTTTCCCTTTGTTTCTATTGTTGGAGTTCCAAAAACGAATGTGAAGCTACTCTACAGTACCACTTATGAACAAAAAGGACCAATTCATGATAGATCTCCCATGTGTTGCCTTATGCCACTGTAAACTCTGTGCCTGTTTCCAAGTAGTCCGGACTGAGGATATACCGAGTGCATCCATTGTGTATCGTCAGGTGCCAATATGATTTTGTGTGAATGGAAGAGTCGTCGTATTATTGACTCTTAAGGACGTACTGTATTGTGTGCTGTCTCCTGTACTAAGGAATGCCAGTTTGCTGAGAGTTAAAATGCCTGCATTTATTTACCATGCCTTTCTTTTTCTCTAATATTTACCTCCTTCATTTCGTGTATCATCTCATTTACCTGTATACCCGTCTGTTTCCTTTAGAATGAAGTAAACAGAGATGGAAAAATGGATTCGGCTATGACTCAGTACTTTATCAGTTGTTTCCCTACTTTTCACTCTTGCCTGACTTTTTTGCCCGCTCCCCCCACTCATTCCTCCATTCCAGCTCAAATCCTTCTTTTGCACCCTGTTGTTCAATAATTGCAGATGTGGAATTCCACTTCTGCTCCACTGGACTGAAGCCTTGTTGGCGCTGTGCTGAGCAAGTTAACCTTGCGAGTCCGCCTTTGAGAATGTCTGGTGTTGTAGAGTTTCAGCTAGAAAACATTTTAAATTGTGATCTTGGCTAGAACTACTCGTTTTTAAATGACTT